CAATATGAAAATATTAGTCAAAACATTCTGGACGATAATTACGGTGATGTCAAAATATATCGCTGATTTAATTTCCTAGTGATTGGCTGTTATATCAAAGTAAACATACAGCAGCTAAATCAACGACAATACTCGTGGTAAGCTTAATATCCCTGTTTTCAATTAGACAACAGAGAGGGTCCGCGTCAGCCATGACACAGACAGCTGCAGACCGCCATTTTGTGGCTAGACTTCGTTTCCGGGAGTCTGTAATTTTCGAAATTCGGGATCTGAGTTTTAACGGATACAAGGGACATCATAATATATATAGAGAGAGAGATAGATAGATCAATATATATGCTTTCTCCTCAGCCACGATGTTTACGAAATACCCTGGGATCTACAACAGCACCTGCCCCCAGCACAGGTGCATTGAGGAGCTCCACCTGATCTGCGTGGATTCCCTGTGCAAGTGCCTCACGGGTTACACTCCTGACTCGCAAGGTAAGGGAATCGGTTACTGGGTCGACAGTGTGAATTGCCTGATCATTTGTTTTCTTTTTAATTTAAATGTCTATTTTTTTTTTAAATACAGAAATGTAGAAGCATAGGCCACTGTAACTCTGGACTGCGCACGGAATTTCGGCCGGTCGACAACTTTTTTATACCTGGCGTATTTTATACCTGGCTAACCCCTTTAGGTGCCAGATAATATGCGATAGTCATTTAACCATGCTTCACACTATCTGGTGTGAACACGAATAAACAATAAATCAGTTATATAACCCTACAAGCCTTTTAGCAAACCACTTAGTAGGCACACAGGTAAAATATAACTTTCACACGCTTGCCTCATTTTGGTTCCAACCTGTGTAATGCCGTGTCAGGCAGCGATTCACCCTCGCATTTCTAGCCCGTCAGCATCAGGAAGATCGACGGCTGGGTGCGTGGAAGGGTTGCATCCAACCGTTTCAGCCATTTCCTATTCTGCCCGGATAGGCTGTACTTTGAACGGTGGTAGTTCTACTTGACTTGGACACACTTCATCATTCGGACAAATTTAAATTTTCATGAGAAATTAAATAAATAGATAAATAAAACAGCCTATTAGCAAATCTTTGAGATAATAGAGTAGAACAAGTAGGAATTTACTATATCACAGCAATGAAAAGTACAAATGGTAAGAACAAATACACAGAAAGCACGCCTACGAAAACGGTAGTAAACGGTGGAGCTGCGTCTCGACCGTTGGGGCCGTTATGCAACCCAACGCTCTCAAAACTGTCCCGAGTTACAGTGGTGAAAAAAATCTGTGGAATTTCTTACGTGGGTTATAAACTTTTCATATTCGGGTATAGACAGCAGGAAAATTACAAATTATTTTTAAAATTATAACAAGGTAAATGAAAGAAAGTAAAATGCTATCATTTTAATCTAAGCGTATCTAACATAAAGATAGGTCATTTTTAATGACAAAAAAAAAAAACTATGAGAATTACCTTATTCATGTGAACCTATCCCTAATAAACAATTCCTCATCGCATAATAATACAGATAATTCAAACAATGACTTGACGGGATCCTTACATCGATCACAATATAAAATAAACTCACTAAGGGAGACAGAAGATAAATAAGACGAAACAGAAGACAAAAAAAATCCACTTAATCCTATAGCCACGTGATCTTTTTTCTTTCTCCATAGGTGGATGCAAGAGTGACGCCGCGAGTCTTGTGGTAACATGGATCTCCCGCGCAGTCATCACAGCTTTTGTTTTGTTCATCTGCGTCGTCATACTTTACCTTATGTTCAGCCGTAGTTCAAGGTGAGTTAGGGGTGGTATCATGTCTGTTTTTATATGTGGGTCTGTATTTATATATGTAAGTACACCTTCAGCTGTATTTGTTTATACTTGTGAGTCGTTGTTTATATGCATCCGCACGTTTATCTCTATTGTATTTTATGTATATCAATTTATGTGTGCTATTACTGCTGTTGCTATGGTTATTACGTCATCATAATCCTTATTGTTTTCATTGTTATCATTATTACCGTCGTCATATTTTTTTATTATTATTAGTAGTAGTATTGCTATTATTATTGTTGTTGCTATGATGACCATGATAATGTTATTATTGAATAATGATGATAATAACGACAACAATAATGATAGAAATGATAATGACAACGATAGTCATAAGCACTACAATGATGATGACGATGGTGGTGATGATGGTGATGATAATGATGATAATAATAATGAAGATGATGATTATTATAATAATAATAATGATAATAGTAACAACAACAACAGTAATAGTAATGATAATTAAAATAATGATAGTGGTAGTACAGTAGTAGTGATAATGATGATGATTATAATAATAATAATAATAATAATAATAATAATAATAATAATAATGATAATAATAATAATGATAATAATAATCGTAAGGAACACGTTAAAAGTAAATGCTAAAATAGTAATCGTATTCATAATCACAATCATAATGATGATAG